AGAATCTTTTTACCAGCAAATTGGACTTAAATTTGAGGAAGAAACTAGTGAAATGCTACATTTGGAGCATAGCTCTGTATGGGGCTGAAACATGGACACTTAGGGCAGTAGATCAGAAACATCTGGAAAGTTTCGAAATGTGGTGTTGGAGAAGGATGGAGAAGATCAGTTGGACCGATTATGTGAGAAATGAAGAAGTGTTAATTAGAGTCAGTGAGCAGAGGAATATCCTACATGAAATAAGAAAACGGAAGGCTAATTGGATTGGTCATGTTTTACGCAGAAACTGCCTTCTAAAAGAAGTTATCGAAGGAAAGATAGATGGGCGGATAGAAGTGACAAGAAAACGTAAGAAGATGCTGGATGACCTTGGGGACAGAAGAGGATACTGTCGTTTGAAGGAGAAAGCTCTAGATCGCATTAAGTGGAGGAATTGTTTTGGAAGAGACTGTGGACCTGTCGTCTTGACAGATTACTGATTATGATGATGATGATGACCAATTGTAGCTCCACCTTTCCACCAAGTCATAAATGAAATGTGTCATGTATACTATCATGAACTGTCCATAAAATTTTGTTACATTTGGTATATGAGATATGTGAATAATGTTATGTGGCCATTTTGATTTCTAGCCATATTGACCAATTACAAAATCTACTGCACACAATGCTGTAAATTAACTTCTTCTTATATTGTAAACCATTAATCAAGTTTTTGTCAGAAGTACGGGATATCTTTCATTACGTTAGCTACTGATTTTTAGCCATATGGACCAGTTACAAAGCCTACTTTACATAGGCCGCACCATAGCTCAAGCGGTTAGTCGCTGGTTTCCCACCATCGCGGCCCGGGTTCAATCCCAGGTCTGGCCAAGTGGGATTTGTGGTGGACAAAGTGGCGCTTGTGCGGGTTTTCTCCGAGTACTTCGGTTTCCCCTGCCAGTCTTCGTTCTACCAAATTTTTCATCATCATAATCACCCAGGGCAGGCTACAATAGGCCAATCAGTGGCCACCGTGCCGAGTGGACTCAGTTGAACTCCACCCCCCACTAAGCGAAGCCTACTTTACATAGACACATAAATGAACTTCATGTATCAGCACATAATAAACCATTATTCAAGTGTTTGTGATCTGGCGTGAGAAACCTCTGCATAATGCTAGCTGACCACTTCAATTCTGAGCCACAATGACTGCGGGTGGGTTTCCTATATATCCAATAAAGCATTTCGCAGATTTTGTTATAAATCAATAATAAGCACACTCATACTATCGAATTATGAATTTTGTTAAGAGATTTTTCTCTTCCCTATAACATCCAAAGTGGCTCTGGGGCCCATTCAGCCTCCTGTTCAGTCTCTTTCCCTGGGGTAAAGCGGCCGGGGCGTGAAGCTAATCACTCACCTCCATCATGCTGAGGTCAAGAATGGTTGATCTATATCTCAACTGCCATGGTGCTTTCACCTTTAACAATGCATGTTACATGCCCCACCTAACACATCTCCCATACTTTGATAGCCCTAATAATATATGATAAAGAATGCATAATAAATAACGTAAACTTGTCCCTGTGCTTGACTAATTAAGCACTACGCCATAAAGGCGTATGGAGGAGTGGGTGTATAGATCCACATTTTCTTGGCCGCGACACTAGTTGGAAGTGAGTAGTCAGCTTCACGCCCCGGCCGCTTTACCCCCGGGGAAAGAGTCCCAAGTACTCATTGGATAGGAGGTTGGTTGGACCCCAGCGCCGGTTTGAAAGACGTGGAGAAAATTCTTGACCCTACTGGGACTCGAACACCGGCCTCTCAGACGTCCAGCCGTAGCTAGTCGGTACACCGACTACGCTGTCCCGGTTCTCTATGCGTAATAAGTAGATCAACATAATATTTTTTTATGAATTTCTGTACCAAGAGAAGTAACGCTATTGCTAATGTGTTCATTGCTTCTGCTTCAGGGATAAATGACTGTTGCACTTAGGTCGCTTTTGGAGTTTTGTAAAATTAATGTAAAGGAAAGGAAAAAAAGAGAGAGGGCAATATTTCCAGAATGTTCTCGACGCTTCCAGAACAGGCAAAATTCACAGACCGGATATATAGATCGTCATAATCAATTGCAAGCTCTACATTCAACAAATCTATTCTCCTTTAAATAAAACTAGTATCTGGGCTTTCTATGATAAAAATATATTCTGTTTAAAATTATATTATATTCGAAACTTAATTTACTTTAGCATTATTATTAGATTGTAACTAACATAAAACAGTATTATTGACAAGAGAAGGTTCTAGACTTGACGTCACCGGAAGTACACACTCATCCACCAATGATATGTTCCAGAAAAGCCGGTAGATAGCTGGTGGTCGTGGTTTTATATAAGGGACATTTGTCGAAGGAGCAGGGGTGTTGCAAGTTGTGTGGTTCCTATCTATTGAAGAATACTGCTGTTGTAGGGTGTAATTTGAATTTACAGTGAAGGTGTGTAATGTAATTGGAGTTTCTATGTATTTAGAATTTCACATTTTTCAGTTTGTGTTTTTAAATTTAAGCTTTTGTGTGTTTCCGTTAGCACCAGATTTTTTTCTGTAGAACTGCCGTAAGTTAAACGTATGTAATTCATGTATAACTAAATATGCGGCGATGGACGGCATGACGCGACGATTCTCTGTTTATTAATTCTTGTTGCAGTTTTTGTGTATTGTAATATGTGTTAATTAATATTGCAGATGCCCGAAGACGTTCAGATGCAAGATGCCGGCGAAGTTGAGACCTTCGCCTTCCAGGCAGAGATTGCTCAGCTTATGTCTCTGATCATCAACACTTTCTATTCGAACAAGGAAATTTTTCTTCGAGAATTGATTTCTAACTCGTCCGATGTAAGTACCATGTATGATTGGTTACCGATCTGAGGAATAACTAGGCTTGTGACTTAACATTTTCCAGTTTATATTCACGTTACTTATATGGATTTTTTTGGTAGGCATTGGACAAAATCCGGTACGAGTCCTTAACTGACCCATCCAAGCTGGAGAGTGGACAAGAATTGTACATCAAGATCGTGCCAAATAAGAATGACCGGACCCTCACTATTATTGACACGTAAGTAGTTTATTTTACCTATTTTGGGAAAATATATACAAAAAACCGACAGGAGCTGGTGTTGCATGTACAGTATAGCGACTTGATTCTGGCCGGACACCTGGGATCGGAGTTGAGTCCCGATAGGGTCAAGAATTTTTCCCAGATTATCCAGACCGATTCTGGGCTGCGACCAACATATCTAGTGGGTACTGGTGCTCTTTCCCCGGTGCTTGAAGCTGACCCCCACAACTCCAGCTAATGCCAAGGCGAATATGTGGATCTGTGCACTCTCCCATACTCCAGGGTGTAGTGCTCAATTTGTTACACACAGGGACAACTTACTTTTTATACCACAACCAATTAAAATACCACCAATATCTGGCTGTAGATAATTGAAACTGACTGAAATAACTATTGGGATAGTTTGTGGGGGCACTGTATGAAGTCGCGTCTCAAGTTACATTTGATTTACGTGGGATGTTAGCTGTGCATTCCTTCATTTTTACATGCTGCTAACCCTTGACATTTGCTGTTACATAGTACTTAGTTGCAGATGTTGAAGGATGTGGCTGCAGAGCAGTGGGCATGTGGGAAGACTGAATTTCCTTATAATTTGACTCTTGCACTGAGACCTTCAGTGATCTGGTGTGCTCTCCACCCCCACCCCCCCATTTTTTTGTGAGAAGAAAGAAATTAGTTGTGTATATATTTTAATTAATAGAACAGTGTTGTACAGTAGGACCATGGGGCATTGTTTGAAGTACTTCAACCCACACAATGTACCTGCTGTCTTGTTTCCAGTGTACACTGTTCTTATAAACATATGCTTGCTTTTAGTTTTAAAATGATTGTGTTGAATTTTATCCCTTGATATTATGTTGGAATGCATAATTTTGCAGAAAATTAGTTACATGTATTTATGAAACTGACAAATCCCTCTCTCCCACACAGAAATAATTTGTTAATTAAAATTTTACCTGTACATCATATCGTGTGAGGTCCATAGGTTTTGAATGTACACAGGGTTAAAATGCATTAGGCCTATCACATCTGTGGAAATTATGCATTAGGTGGAAATCTTGTCTGAAGTGTTGCATTGGACCATGTGTCATCTTTTTAAACCCCCTATTTGCTGAAACTTTGTGAAATTTTTTGTCTTTCTTTCATTCAAGTTTTCTGCATACTCTACAGTGGCATTTAACCAGGTTCTCCCATGTGTAAGGACTGAGCTTAGGCATTGTTTTGAAAGATCTGTGCTGTTATTGGCAACAGATTTCATATTAGGTGTTCGCTGTAGGTCCAGCATTTTTTTAACTGCACAAAAAGAAATATGGTTGGTGTGGTCTGGGTTCATGTTTCTTGGGGACCCATGGAAAGATCTTTTGAACACAGTAATGTACCTTCATGTTAAGTAAATTTTGCAACGTTGGTATTTGGGCAAGTAGTGGCTTTTCAAGGACTTATTTGGTTATTTCTTACATAAGCGAATAATATCAGCGGTTAAGAGGGTATAGTTCATTAGTGATAGGATGTCTTGCATAATACTGAGAGGTTGCTGGAGTGATAGTGCCCCAACAAGTACCATATGAAAATTTTGTTAAAAGATTTCAGTACCAAAGGAGGGAAGGAAAATATTTTCAAACCAACGATTGGGAATGAGCATTGCAAGAAATTAGTAATGATAATGGAGTTTAGAGTAGTAAACTTTGCCACATCAAAAAATCTTATTATGGTCAAAAGTACGATGTTCCCACATCGTAACATTGATAAATGTACTTGGGCATCTCCTAATGGGAAGATAGACAATCAAATTGACCACATTTTGATAGGAGACAGCATTCAATTGTATTTGATGTCTGGTCATTTGGGGCAGCAGACTGTAATACTGAACACTACCTGGTTGTGGCAAAGGCTAGGGAAAGCCTGGCAGTGAGTAAGTAAACAATGCACACAATTCATATGGAGAGGTTAAATCTCAAATGCCTTCGCCGCTTTGGAAAACACTGAAGTTGGTGTTAATAAAACTTAGAGATACCATAAAGAGAAACGCGCGAACTTTTAATTGATGCAAGTAAGGAGGTTGAAGAAAGCCTTAAAATTTTACATGAGTAAGGAGGTTGGTCTAGGAATAAACACAGAAAACTAAGTGTATGTTGCTGTCTCGTCACCAAAATGCAGGGCAAAATTATGACATAAGGACAGGTAACAGATGTTTTGAAAGTGGCACAGTTCAGATATTTGGAAATGACTGACAAATCAAAACCTGATTCAGGAGGAAATTAAGAGGTGATTGAACTCCAGGAATGCTTGCTACCATTCAGTCCAGAACCTTTTGTCTTGTCTGCTGTCCAAAAGCATAATAATTAGAATATACAGAACTATAATTTTGCCTCTGGTTCTGTATGCGTGTAAAATTTGGTCTGACATTAAGAAAAGAAGACTGAGGATGTTTGAGAATATTTGGACCAAAGAGAGATGAAGTCACAGGAGGTTGGAGAAAACTGCATGAAGAGGAGCATCATAACTTGTACTCTTCTCCATGTATAATTAGAATGATCAAGTCGATTAAATAGGTGGGGCATGTTGCATGAAGTGGGGGAGAAAAAGGAATGCATGTAGTATATTGGTGGGAAAGTCAGAAGGAAGGAGACCAAGACCCAAGAGGTGGGAAGGCAGACAATATTAAAATGGGTCTTAGGCAGGATAGGATGGCTCTTGTGGACACGGCAATGAACCTTAAGGTTCCCCAGATTGCTGGGAAGTTCTTGAGTACCCGCACAATTGGCGGCTTCTCAAGGACTCTGCTCCATAAGTGAATGTTGTAGCTTTTCGTTACCCTTTGCCCCCCCCCCAGTGTTCTTGGGGTGCAGTCTGTAATTGTATTTCATTGTATGTTCATCAGTCATGTGTTAACCAGTTTGCAGATTACTGGGGCTTCTGAAAGAATGTGCATGAATTTTGCCATCCACATCTGTTTGAAGTTACACTTGCCACCGTCTGTCATACTCCCAGTATTTGTTGTCACATCAGCTGCATGAACTTTAGTATGTGTGTGTGTAAAACATGGCCCAGAATACATAAGTATTGCATTACTGCAGAATTTCATCAAAAACAGTAGGATTGGACATGATGCCATAGTAGGGGCATGGTATAGTGGGACTGCAGCCCCAGTGGATAATTTTTCTTGATCCAAATGGTGATTAATTTTTTATCTTGCTTGCAGGGGTATTGGTATGACAAAGGCTGATCTTGTGAACAACCTGGGAACAATTGCAAAATCTGGTACAAAAGCGTTTATGGAAGCACTGCAGGCGGGTGCTGACATTTCCATGATCGGACAGTTTGGTGTAGGTTTCTACTCTGCATACCTTGTAGCAGATAAGGTAACTGTAACATCCAAACACAATGATGATGAACAGTACCTGTGGGAGTCCTCAGCAGGTGGCAGCTTCACGATTCGTCCTGATCCAGGAGAGCCTCTAGGTCGTGGCACAAAGATTGTTCTGCACATCAAGGAGGACCAGACAGAATTCTTAGAAGAGAGGAAGATAAAAGAAGTTGTTAAGAAGCATTCGCAGTTCATTGGTTATCCCATCAAGTTGTTGGTAGAAAAGGAACGTGACAAGGAACTGAGTGATGATGAAGCAGAAGAAGAAAAGGAAAAAAAGGAGGGGGGAGAAGAGGGAGAAACAGATGAGTCAAAGCCAAAGATTGAGGATGTGGGGGAAGATGAAGAGGAGGAAGACAAGGACAAGAAAAAGAAGAAACGGACTGTAAAAGAAAAATACACAGAAGATGAAGAACTGAATAAGACAAAACCCATTTGGACCCGCAACCCTGATGACATTAGCCAGGAGGAATATGGGGAGTTCTACAAATCCCTAACCAATGATTGGGAAGATCACCTTGCTGTGAAACACTTTTCTGTTGAAGGTCAGCTGGAATTCAGAGCCCTTCTTTTTGTGCCACGTCGAGCACCATTTGATCTGTTTGAGAACAAGAAACGAAAAAACAATATCAAGTTGTATGTTCGTAGGGTGTTCATCATGGATAACTGTGAGGATTTGATCCCAGAATACCTTAATTTCATCAAGGGTGTTGTGGACAGTGAGGACTTGCCTCTGAACATTTCTCGAGAGATGCTCCAGCAGAACAAGATCCTTAAGGTTATTCGTAAGAACCTGGTAAAAAAATGCTTGGAACTCTTTGAAGAATTGGCGGAGGACTCTGAGAACTACAAGAAGTTTTATGAACAGTTCAGCAAGAATCTGAAACTAGGAATTCATGAAGACAGCTCAAACCGCAAGAAGATTTCTGAATTGCTGCGATACTCCACCTCTGCATCTGGAGATGAGGCCTGTTCCCTGAAGGACTATGTTGCTCGTATGAAAGGGAACCAGAAACACATCTACTACATCACTGGAGAGAGCAAAGAGCAGGTAGCAAATTCTTCATTTGTTGAGCGAGTGAAGAAGCGTGGTTTTGAAGTAGTGTATATGGTTGAACCCATTGATGAATATGTGGTACAGCAGATGAAGGAATATGATGGCAAGCAGCTGGTATCTGTTACAAAGGAAGGACTGGAATTGCCTGAAGACGAAGTGGAGAAGAAGAAGCGTGAGGAGGACAAGGCTAGGTTTGAATCGCTTTGCAAGGTCATGAAGGATATCCTTGATAAGAAAGTGGAGAAGGTTGTGGTTAGTAATAGGTTAGTAGAATCACCATGCTGCATTGTCACTTCACAGTATGGCTGGACAGCTAATATGGAGCGCATAATGAAGGCTCAGGCTCTCCGAGACACTTCTACCATGGGATACATGGCAGCAAAGAAGCACTTGGAAATCAACCCCGATCACCCAGTCATGGAAACTCTTAGACAGAAAGCTGAGGCTGACAAGCATGACAAAGCTGTGAAGGACCTAGTTATGCTTCTTTTTGAGACTGCTCTGCTTTCATCTGGCTTTGCATTAGAAGAGCCTCAGGTCCATGCAGCTCGTATCTATCGTATGATTAAATTGGGTTTGGGTATTGATGAGGAAGACCCACAGATCTCTGAAGAAACTGCTGCAGATGCAGAAATGCCACCATTGGAAGGGGATGGTGGAGAGGATGCATCACGGATGGAAGAGGTGGATTAAACAATTGTAAATTTAGTTAGTGTTGTCGGGGAGTTTTTTAAGGACTGATTTAATGCTGTTCTCATGTATGTGTGTTTCATTTGTTTTCAGCTTATGTTCTCGATTAAATGTTGAATTCTGAATGTATATTACCATTTCAGGATATGTGTCTTCTTGTTATTTAAACTTGGTCATTCCACAGTTCTGTCTCATGTTCTGTGTACATCTGTGTTTGAAAAGCTGAGCGAGTTAATTTCCGAATTAAAAAAGTTCTTTTGTATATCTGGTTTTTAATTTTACCCTTCATTCTTTTAATTGAAGGTGGAAGAGTTGTCGTGTGATATTGTGGACTATTGAGTAGTATTTATAGGGGAGAACATTTAAACATTAGAAAGTTGCTCATCTTATATTAATCTGATTTTAGCTTTCAGGCAAGTACACACAACACATTTCATAATGGATCTAGTGGCTTGACTGGTTAGTTTTTAATATTCTACAATCTGTAGCATTGTAAAAATTCAAAATTAAAGGTGAAGGCACCAGATAGTACATGTTCATCATGAAATTATGGTAATAGATCTACAGGATCTTGATGGAGCTGAGCCCTACTTGAGAAGCCACCAGTTATGAAGCTACTTGAGATCTTCCTGCTATTATGTGCAAACCAAATGGTTTCTTAACAAGAGCCTTCCAATATCTTGGTCTTACTAGTGATCGCCTTCCTTTCGGCTTTCCCACCAATATCGTATATGCATTCCTCTTACCAATTTGTGCTATATGCCCTGTCCATCTCATCCTTGACTTGAGCATTGTGATTGTACTTGGCGAAGTGTACATGTTATGAAGCTGCTTATTATGCACTTTTCTACAACCTACTATCACTTCATCCCACCTTGATCCAAATATTCTCAAACACCCCCAGTCTATGTTGCCCGCATGTCAGAGACCAAGTTTCACACCTATGCAGAAGGAATTTATGTACCAGTTTTTTTTTAGGGATAGACAACAATATCCACTACCAAGGAAGATAAAAGACACGATCCATATTGGTTCACAAATAAATATCGTAACTTAAAAATAAGTTTACACTCATTCATAACATAATTTTAATGTAAAGGAAGGATGCTGTGGTGAAACATTGAATTTTATATACAGTGCAGTGGAAAATACAGTTTTAAGATATCCTTTATGGAAGTTTATGTCAAACATCTATTTCAACAATGGAAAATTAACAACTACGTATAGTGAGCATCATAAATGTTTCGAGTGTATAGTCTCGTAAAAACATTTACCAATTGGTAGGTTCCTGATCATAGTGGTATACCTCCAATGATGATTCGTTTAAGTTTCGAAAAATATTAGGTAACTTAAGTGGTGAAGGCATTGTATGTCACATTGGACTGAAATAAACTTAATTGTACCAGCTTTCTTTCCCCTAGCAGCACAGCCCAGGTGGGAGTCTGTATAGCAACTGGCTAGGAGCTGGATGGCCAAGGGATTGGATTTTGAGTTATGGTAGGGTCAAGAATTTTCTCCACGTCCAGACCGGATCTGGGGCCCACCTGACTTAACTAATGGGTTGTGGGGATAAATCGGCTGGTGCGTGAAGCTAACTACTCACATCTAGCTAGTACTGAGATCAAGAAAGTGGATCTGTACATACACTTTCACGATGTAGTGCTTAATTTGTTAAATACATGGACGTGTACACAGTCCAGATGGTGATTTCTTGCCCTGCCAGAGAGTGTATGTGAGAGGCTTTGATTAACTAGAATTTTGAATTTTTTACAATGGGTGTCAGTACTGATTTCTTCAAGGAAGACTAGATTTGAACACAAAACAGAGGTATGGAGATAATTTGATGCTGATAACATTGACTTGATATTAATCAAACTAAATGTTAAACCTCAGGACACGTTAAATCATGGTATGTTTATTTGGACGTTAATTTCTTAAAGGTAACACTGATTTTTTCTGACCCTCAGGTTTTCAAAACCAGGATCATGTGTCAACCCTGACCCAACTTTAAACCGTTTTTATGTGGCTGCAGCAGTATATTCCCCCCTGCTTGGATCAGTTCTGTTGGGGTTTGATCAAATGTCTGGAGAGCGATTCATTCTTTTGAAATTTCAATATCAAAAGAATAGGCTCTGCCACAACTGTATTTGACTAGATTTCTTGTAGAAACAAGAAATATTTCTTTCTACACCGCATGGACAGCCCAGCCTCCTCGAGTAGGTGCCAAGTGGCTGGGCTGTGAAACTGATCACTAATCCATCTGGTGCTGAGGGTGAGAATAAGTGGATCTATACCTCCACTTCCATGCAACTTCATTTGCTGCTAAATTATGAGCACGAGTTTAATTTTATGTAGGGGCCATAATGAATTTTTATGTACACCTCCACTTCCCATGCATCTTCATTAGCTACTGTTAAATTATTAGCACAAGTTTAATTTTGAGGCTATTTTTATGTAGCGGTTTAAATGAACTTTCATGTACATTTTTTAAATCTGGCATATTTTGATGAAAGTTTGTGTTTTTTATGTGATAAGCGGTACTTGCGTGATCTCTTCGAAACCATATGGCAACTTTAGATTAAACTGATACATAACACATTATGCAAGTGCTATCAAGCGGAAGTTTAAGGCGAACACCGCATGCAGACATAATGCGTAAGTAAAACACATCAGCGGTGCATTTTTGACGTATGTGTCTAATATGCAGCCTTCAGATGGCAGCACAGTGTGGAGATGTGTATATAGTCGGTGACTGGTGCTGTCATCTAGGGCAAATTGTGTAAAAGTAGATGAAAAGAATCTGGCTTGCACGCACTGCTTCGTCGCTGGGAAGAATAGGAGCTAGGCATTCTTTGTGTAAAAACAGTCTCTTTCGAGTTATTCCACAGTCGTGTTTAAGTGGATGAGAATGTTATAATGAGGCTTCCGGCATTTCTCCATTTTCACCAACATCCTGATTAGAAAACATTTTTGGTTTTCCAACGAAATACTGCTAGAAAACAGTTGCCGTTGCGCTATATTGCAATTATAATACATGTAATCAAGGTTTTTGAAATTCTCATAATTTCTTCCACATAACAGCAACATAGGCCGGTCACGGTAGCCGAGCGGTCTAAGGCATGCACTGTCTTCTCTCGCTCGGAAGCCGGGATCGTGGGTTCGAATCCCACTCAGGGCATGGATGTTTGTGTGCGTTTTTCTGTGTTTGTCTACAGGTAGAGGCCTTGCGACGAGCTGATCACTCGCCCAAGGAGTCCTACCGTCTGTGTAAGATCTAGAAAAACCGAAGTGAACGGAAGTCCATGGAGGTAGGCTTAGGGCCACTGGGGCTGTAGTGCCAAGGAAAAAAATAGCAACATAGTCCTGGCCGCCGGCAGTGAGGAGGGGAGCAAGGCTCCCCTAGATTAAAAGAAATCAGATACCCAGGGCGATCAGTAAAAATAGTATGAAACAGTTTAAACGTAAGTTTGTGTAAGTAATTTGGTTTCATTCATTAACTTTTTCATAATTGTGTAAGTAAATTTTCTGCCCCCCTCCCCCGTCTGCTCTCATGAATATAGTGTTGTGGTCAATCAAAGCAGATACTGATGGATCCATTTCTCTTGGGGCTCGCTTAGTAAAGTGACAGATCATACGAGTAGACTGGATGACCAGAATTTCCTTCCTCGCAGGGACTTCCTGTTGGCCTCCATGTCCACGCCGGCCTGGGGCCCATCCCGTCTTGCATTCCCTGTGTACTCTAGGTAAAGTAATCGGGGAGTGAAACCGACGTTCAACTAATGCCGGTCTAGAAATACACATCCCCTAAACTTTTTCGTGCTGTACTCCTATTGCTTAGGTAAAGGGGGGAAATTTATGTATCAGTCCATTTCGTCAGTCTGAACCTCATCCTCACATGACGATGATGCGAAACGTTGAGATTATATCTGAAAACTTGTACACAGTCGGGATCTATACTAGTGGAAATTGTACAGAGAATGGACCACAAAATTTATAACTAATCCATTCATATATATTTCTTGCTTCTCTCGCCATATGCATTGAAATATTTGAATAAAGGGAAAAAACTTGATCACCTTTACAGCAGATGACCTTGTCTAGCCATCTTGGCATTTCCCTGTTCAGCATTTGAGATCCTTATTGCCCGCCATCGAACCGAATTCCAGGAAGTGTCATTTACAGTTTCTGGAGCTCATCTGAAGATAAAGTTGTCCAGCATTCATAGCCTGGTACTAGTTGACATGAAGGCGTATAGACGAATTGGAAGTGAATGGTCATCTTCATTCTCCGGCCTGTTACCTCGGGCGGTGAAGTCTCGCAAAAACATTTGTCAGTTTCAACATGTCCGCCCATCCCAGCCGAATCTGTTTTGACAAAATATGTGATGTTATTCCGGGTTGTAGGTCCCTTGTCATGTTAGCATGTCATGTACTCAGCTTGTGAACAGGATAAACACCCTCCATGTATGTTAGCTGCGAACACACTGAATAAGCTGTCTCGGATAGCCGGCAAGGGATGATCCTCCAGCTTGGGAACTTGATAGGGTCCACCAATCCCTCACCACAGAAATCTTGCGTGTTAGGGAATTTTGCAGACCTAAGATTCTAAGAAATATTTTGGCACCAAATAAGCTATGGAAAAAGAACTAGAAGACTGATGTTAGGGAAGCAGGGTATGTGGGCTTGGACTGTCTTCAGCTGACTCATAAGGTCCAGTGACGGAATGTTATGAACAGGATAATGAGCCTTCGTGTTCCACAAAAGGCGGGGAATTTCTTGACGGAGCGAAGGACTGTCAGCCTCTCAAGAAGGAATGTGGTTCTTTGAGGTAATTATTAGAGGTCATCACTAAAATTTATAGAGAAAGTTGAAATGTGATTTATATTTTAACTCTTTGGACAGGAAGTTACCTACCAAGAATGACCTGAAACAACGTATATATTTTGTCACTGTTTTTCAACTACGAATATGCCATTAGGAAGTTTGAAGAAAATAAATATGGATTTGAATTGAATGGAGCACCTCAGCTACGGGTTTTATGCTGATTATGTTCATGCATCCGGCGAAGAAATAGATGCCACGAACAAGAACACAGAACGTCTGTTGTATGAAGAACTGTAACCTAGAAACAAGGAAGCAAAAGAGGATGTTTAGGCCTCTCCAACAGAAGGCAAGCCGAAATTATGACGTAAGTGTAAATAACGAAGCCTTTTTACATGTGTTAAAGTTCAAGTATGTACTTAGAAACGGCAGTAATAAGTTGAG